CCCCGCCTGTTCTTCTTTATGTGAGAGAAAAAATAAGGACACAAGGAGCCTATGGCAGATTTAAATGACCAAGTTGCTTCTTCCGCCAGCCCTGATACACATCGGCCAAAAAAAATCTCCAAAGTGGAGAGAAGTTATCGGGAAATTTCAGCTTCCCCTTAGAGGCTAACATATAGCCTTAGGTTCCCAACTTTTAGATCAAATTAGAGGTTCTAGTCTGTCACTCTAGAATCATCAATTTACGTTCATCAAAACTTATTTTCTTTTTTATTTGTACTTAACTACATGGACTACATTCTCATCCATGAGATCAAAAGTGATTCTTACTTAGTTGAGGAAAACATAGTACATTTGAATCATTATGTTTCATAACATATTTTAACTTAATAATTGGCTTGACTGATTAAGTAAATGAAGTTTGAAGTTTGAATCATCACAATTATGAAATTAAAGCACTTCTAAATAATTTCAATTATTCACATGATTATTCTTCATTGCAGAGAGAAAGACAAAGTAAACTACTTAGATATCATGGGAATGATACAACAAAAATGGATTTATATATAAAAACAAATTTACACAACAAGAACAAGTAAAACAAGTAAAAGTACAAACTACTCATCTCAATCTCCTTCCCAAACAAATCCTTTAAAGTTCCTTTGAATCATTTTCTTTCCTTACAATATCACTCAATTCTCTCTTAGAAATATATTGAAGAAGAAATCTCTCACATCCCCTCTTCTCTTACAATTCTAAGAGACTATCTTCTCTTTCACTCTTCTTCACTTCTCTCCTCCTCTCTTACTTTTTTTCTCCTTTATTCTTTAATAAAATCTCTTTTATATTATATTTGGCCGAATTTTCAATAGCCACCTCAGATGTCCTTTCAACTTTTGTCCAAATTCAATGAACTTGAGAAGAAAGTTGCTTCTGACGCTTAGGCGCCTAACTGTGGCGCCTAGGTGTCACATTTTTTTTTGTAAACTGACACGTAGGCGTCATGTCAACTTTTATAAAATGGCATATTCTTTATTCCAAATTACTTTATTTTTGCTTCTTTAGATCCAATTGCTCAACTTATTGTACCCGTGACAAAAAGATAGAAATACTTTTCATTAAAGCGCGATATAACTAAAAATAGGAATTAAATGTGCATATAAAAGCAACATATTTTTAATCAAGTCAATCGGCCCATAACGACCAATCAAACCCAAAGCGATTGGTCTATCATGCTAGAACGGCTGATCAAACTGAAGTGCTCTTGCGATCAAGCATACAATATGCAAAATGTCATAAATGAGTATGCAAGCAATGTAACCTAAAGCAGTTCAACGGTGCGTCAAAATCATTATATCCACCTTGCATAGGTACATAGGGTTTTCACACGTAGATATGCGGCATGGCCCCTCCGAATGTAGCGAGCAAGTGCAGGTAAATTTCCCCCTCGATTTCTGGGCGGAATGATTCTCCGCCTCCTGCAAAATAGATTAGTTACAAAGCTTTTCTCGTTTTGCAACTACAATGTTTTGGTCCCTCCACAGATGATCGGATACCACTACAACCGTTGGAAATTGGGATTCTGACCCTCTTAGGTTGGGTCTAAAGCTTGCAAGGAAACACTCTTGGCTTTGCTAAGGATTTGTCCATGAATTTAAATTCCTAACCTAGGACTTCCTTTAAGACAAAATTTGTCAATTAATAGGTGTTTGGTAGACTGGAGTTGGTCGGCCAACTTGCTTAGTGTGGGCGACCAAAACCCATCACAACACCACAGAACTAACTAACCAAAAGGAGTATGGTAGGGCTCATCCGATCATCAAATATACCCATTTAGGAGGGGGTGGGGGTTTGGGACCTTAAACCAAAAGATGGTTGATGCTCCTAACACATTGCAATGTAACTCCTTGTGAAATCATGACATGCACTGCAAATCCCGACATGCATTGCACAACAACGAGGCATCTTACAGGATAACGCACCCCCCATACGGTGCAACAACATCTTTCGAGGACGTTGTAACAATGAACCTCTGATACGGTGCAAAGATGCACCCCGAAGACGATGTAATGACACTTAAATGTTGACACGTACGGTGCAATGATGAATCTCGAAAACGGTGACTTTCTCTTAACTCCTAATGCTCTCTCCTTACAACTGCAGCTTACCAACATCATCATAGCTCACCATTATGACCTAGATGACTAACCACGATTTACATGGTCCACAACTTCTACAGCTCTCTACCCAAATCTCTGCAACCTACGTATGTCATCACAACTCATTCCTACAACCTACACGA